AAAACTTAGAAGTTAAACCTTCCAGTATTAACATTGTCATATGCTGGCGACTTGTTCGTCGAAAGCCAGGGCGGGTTAATAGAAACCACATATATATGTTTCAGATATGAGCAAAAAGTCTCAAAATCCAAAAGATTGTGTGCAAAAACTTAAACCAAATAAAAATTGAGGTTTCTGATTCGAATACGATCAGTAAACCGTTTCAAAGGGGTTAAGCTAGGATTCGAATACGATCATGTAGCCCCCGGTGGCTTTGGCGTTGCGCCGATCAAGAGGGTACCGATAGCTATATTCTCTTTGGTTCGAATACAACCTATGTTTGAACAGGAAGCCCCCAAATGACCCTGAGAGGTTTTTAACGACCCTGATTCGAATATGATCCAAGTCGGACCCAAAAGGGGTTAAGCTATGATTCGGATACGATCAAGAAGCCCCCTAGTGAGTTTGGCTTTGCGCCAATGAAAAGGGTTACGACGGCTATGTTCTCTTTGGTTCGAATACGACCTATGTTTGAACAGGAAGCCCCCAAGTGACCATAATAAAGTAAGCCGTAAGGCAGGATATCCATGTTTGAACCGCACATCATGGCAGCAAGTTCTCTTTGGCAACCTTTTATTTTTCTAAGAACTCGAAATTTGCGAGAGATTAATTCTTTTTGAACCGGAACTTTGAACCGGATTTGAAAGCTTTCAAAACTTTGTGGGAGATAGATTGTCCTTGAGCCGGATGTTTGAACCGGATTTGAGAGCTTAAAAGCTTTGTAAAAGACAAATTTACCTTGAGCCGGATGTTTGAACCGGATTTGAGAGCTTCAAAGCCTTGCAGGAGAGAGATGTCTCTTGAACCGGATTTTAAACCGGAATCTTTATTTTGAACCGACAATTTTTTGACAGTCTTTAAATTTTCATCAATATGGTGGTGTCCTCCGGAACCGGGTTATCATTCTCTCCAATGACCAGGAGTTCTCGAGCCATGTCATTGTAGCCCCCGAGTCTCAAGACGACTCGAGGAGTTGGCTTGAGATTCTCCATATTAACTGTGATATAAACCGGCATGGGTTATCCAATAGCTCAGTGATATAATAATCCCTTTTTGCAGTAGCAATTTGTCCTGCTGAGTTGATGATCACCACGGTGAAGTTGAAATCAATCATGGGCGAGTCGGTCATGCGAGCAGACAGATGAATCGCCCAAGGCGTTGTAAGCCGGTGTGGGCGAACAAGATGTCCTCCGTGTTGTAAGCCGGTGCGGACGGGCGAGCCAGCCACGGTGTTGTAAGCCGGTGTAGGAGTCCATTAAGTAAGGACGACCACGTGTGCCGAATGATGTTGACACGCCTCCATCTCCGTGGTATAATGCCACCTTGTGACGAATAATTCTCCTGTATATAAAACACAGCAGGGTAAAGTAGTTTCGTTCGAATGAATTAATACGTGCTTAAAAATAAATAGGATAAATAGCACCTGGTATTTTTAGACGGTAAATAATTTCCATGTGATGCATTATCCATCAGAACGTCTGTGAGCGTAGAACAATGAAGTTGGTACTGTATGGGAGTCTGACTTGGCACATTGTTCTTCGATGGGTAAAGTGGCCAGCACAACTTATCCATCATGCATGCAGCAATTAGTACTATAGATAGCACAAATTGATGGCCACGTGTGTGGCATTTTTTACTTGGTCCTTGCGTGAAGTAATAGCCAGTGCTCGGCGGAGTTTACAGAGAAAACGTTTGACCATGGCTGTTGCCCTTTGACTCCGCTTGCAGTCTTGATCTTTGAGACAAAATATGATGAAAACCGGCTTCATTGAATTTAATTAAGCTCTGCTGCTAGGGTGCTCTGGAAGCGGCGACTTGGCTACTGTCGAATACTGAATCCTGCTGCACATTCCTTCGGTTAGCTAGGCGTTCATTCCTTTTTCAGTTTCGTCAGAATAAGCTTGCGGCACTGAGAGCCCGTTCTCGTGCACGCCCGTAGTTGCAATGGAGTTTGTTTTGACATGCAATAGATAGCTTGCTGCTGCATCCGCTCCCGTGGGATAGCGCGAGATCATAGTGGACATCACGGCTCCAGAGGTAACGTGGGAGTGGAGCGATGAGGCGGCAGCAGCTCCGCGTGGCGCGACAAGGCGGCGACGGACGGCGTCCTCGAACAGCGGTGACTCGACGCGGGGGGCGCAAAGGTATGGGGCGGCTCTCCAATGGCAGCTCAATAGTGGAACGAGCCGGCTCCAGGCCGCGAAAAAACAATAGCGGCCACGCGGTGCGGGGCGGAACCGCTGTCGCTGGCCGAACAGAGCGCAGAGACCGCAGAAACTCGGGGAGGCCGCGGACGACTCACGGCTCGACGTCATAGTAGAGGATCGGCAAGAGCGGCGGCCTACAGCCGAGGTGACTCCCGGAGGGACGAGCCGGCAAGGGCCTTCGGACAGCGGCGACTGACGCAGCAGAGGCGGAGCAGAGCGGGTACGGCCATCGCGAGGTCAAAAACGGCTCGGTGGCGTTGTGTGCGCGTGACTCAATCCTCCTTCGAGTCATCATTGGTTTGACTTTTCCTTCCATGACTTCTGAATTGTTCTTCTGGTAGTTTTCTTGCGCGCATACACCAAGTGGAATTGATAAAAGGGAAAGCTGACTTTGGCTTCAGATGACATAGCCGAATATGCACTAGTACTTGAGATCCTTGGACATAATTAAACAATGCTCTTGTCTTGATTGGGACTTGGCCTTTATGTGTTTTGGCGACTCGCTTCCGTCGGACTCGGCGAACCAATGTTGACCGAGACGGCGATTCGCAAGATTTGACACGCCGGTGAAACACGGCAAAAAACGTCAATGGCACACAGACGCAACTCTACTTTTTCTCAAACTTTTAATCTCACAAATCTTTAAATATGGACTGACGAACTTGACATTGATGCAAATCCTTTCAAACCAACTTTTCTTCATCCGAAAAATCGCGAGCCCCTCGATCCCTATGAGAAATCCCTCCAAGAACTCAACACAACCGTGCACTAGCCCCACGATGGACGCCAACTGTCGTGGATTTGTCACGGCAGATGTCCCTAATGTCAGGACTTAGTCGCGAGGCCAACGCATCTATGCGGTAGCTTGAAGGGGTTGATCAGAATCGAGAGACGCAACACGCAAGACGAAGATTTAGACAGCTTCGGGCCCCGGAAAACATCATTCGATAATAACCCTACATGATGTTTGTGACTAGATCTCATTATGCTCATGAGAGAGTCGCCGGTAAGCCGGCTCTTTGTGTCTAGCCCTAGAGATTATCTTCTGTCCCTCTTTGAGGAGCCCTGCCCCTCCTTATATACGTTTAAGGGGCGGGTTACATGTGGAGTCCTAGTAGGACTAGGACTAGTATATCCTTTCTCACAAGTTGAATACAAGTCCGGGTCTTGCTTCCTCATAAAGGAAATATTCGCCATCCCTTTCCTCTTAAGCCGACCCACCATAGTATAAGCCGGCCCGCTGGGCCTTGGGTTTTGTCGTCCGTCTGATCCGCCCGCCGGGTCTCCAGTGAGTCACAATGTCCCGGCGGGTTACATGTAAGCCGCCATGTCCGGGCGGATCGCCAGTGAGTCGTCAAGCTCCAGCCAGGTCTTTGGTGAGTCACCAAGCCCGGCTGGATCATAATTCCGGCCGGATCATACTGCAGGGTATATCCCCGACAGAAGGCCTGCATTGCACCTTTTTCGGTAGACTAAGGGCAAAAAATATTTATGCTTTGTGGGATTGTAACTAATGACCCCCCCTCCTGTCCCAAAGGCCCGAAATAAGATTGTTAGATTTGCATATATGGTCGCTTCGATATACATTTAATGGCTTTGGGAGTAATACCAGATTTCAGGATCGTCGCTAAGAGCGAGAGGCTCTATAATTATTGAATTAATCTGTCCGGAGTCCATCAATCTTGCTCTCAGGTGGCACTGTCTCGATGTTGTCGTGTGGACGAAATCACTATTCTAACCCTTTGAATGAACTTTGTCGCAAAATGAACTCGACGTGAAAGTATTTCACGATCTGACCCTTTTAGCAACGCCATAGCCCGCGGCGTTTATGCTCAAAGAAAAAACGCCGAGATAGCTAGCGTTTCTGATCAAAGAAGAAATGCCGAGGTAGCTAGCGTTGCGGATCAGGTAAGAAACGCCGAAGGCACTGGCGTTTCTGGCCATCATAGAAACGCCAAAAAACCATGGCGTTGCTGCCCTTTTTCATGTGCATGTGGAACCTAGATGAACAACCTAATTAATAAGGCTAATTAATTATGACCAAAGAGGGCAGAAACGCCATGGTCATTGGCGTTTCCATGATGGGCTGCTGAGGCAACGTCAGCGCCTTCGGTGTTTCTTACCTGGTCTGCAACGCTAGCTACCTCGACATTTCTTCTTTGGTCAGACACGCTAGCTATCTCAGCGTTTCTATATTGGACAGAAACGCCGCGGACTATGACGTTACTAAAAGGGTCAGATCGTGAAATACTTTGACGTCGAGTTCATTTTGTGACAAAGTTCGTTTAAAGGGTCAGAATAGTGATTTCGTCCTTGTCATGTCGCATTGATATACATTTTGGTGTACATATCAATTACTTCTTTCGTTGCAACGCACGGGCATATGTGCTAATGAACATATATACAACCAAATATAGACAAACTGTTGCACCCCTTGAAACGATGATGAAACAGATATGTACTAACAATGTTATGTTCATATTTAAGTCGGTGCCAAGCAACAGAAAGAGTACATGAGCCACAGAAAGAGAGCACATGATGCTCTGCGAAATATTTGCAGAGTACTGCTCTCCAGAGGAGAGAAACAGGGAACACAATAAACAAGAGTCAGTACACCAGGCAGTTCGATCACGTGGATCTTTATTAAGACCAGCAACCACAAGTATTGCGAAGCTAGGCGACCAATGACTGACTGAGATGACGACGATGAAGACCTGCGGCGCTTACTAGGGCATAACCTTTTGAATCATCGTCTCACGGAATTACGAGGCAGCCCTCCCCAACAGCTGAAGGGCCAACCAGCACAGGTGCATAAATGGCCTCATCAGTTTCCTCCTCCGCCTGGGACTGAACCAAACAAGCAGCATCAAAGATGTAGGCCTTCACTTCCTCAAAGCGTGCTTCCGACAGGGAGACCTCGGCGAGGAGTCTCCATGCCGAAGCTTCTGATGCCTCCTCGTAGTCATCCCTACGTTTCAGTACAATGTGGCCACTGATCTCCCAAACAGCAGGGTTCACCTGTGTGTCCAGCAGTTCCTGACTCACTTCGCCCAGAGCCTGCTTCTCAGCATAGCACTGCATTTTGGAAATGGATTGGATTGTTGAGCTAAATTACTAGTAAATTTCATCAACTTATAGTTCAGTAAGAACTGAAAAAATAGGCAACCATGTAATAATGATTTTACTTGGGGAAAGAGGAAGATCTTCCTGCCAGAGTCTGAAATGAGCACATTGCAAGGCACATTGTTGTCCTGCAGCCAAATGCAAGCACTGGAAACCACATTGGCCAGATCATTCAGGGTGTTGCCTTCCTCAAAAACCAGTCCTCTCACGGGGTAGTTCATTAGCTTCGACACCTTCACTCCACTCTTTATCCCGCCCTCAGCAAGGGGAATCCTCTGGGTAGCTGCCTTCTCGACAGGAAAAGGCACTGTCAAGTAGTATGCCTGTGGAGGAAAATAATTGACATAAACATTAATACACAAAGGTAGACATGCTATTGATTTCTCAGCTAAATTGTTCACGCCAAATGCACACATATGGCGAGGCTAATTTCCGTTGTCAAGAAACCACGACTCCAGCTTTGTCGCTTTTCTGAAGCAAGGAACCCACAACTTCAATGAAACTGAGGAAGTCATACATAGCGCCGAAAAGTTGAATATGGATATGATTACTACAAAATCCATAGCCCGAAGGAGAAACAGAGATCCTCAACTGTGCGTGATGGGTGATTTGTGATATATCTAGAGAATACAAGTGAATACAGTCCAGTAATACTGTTGCCCGCACACAATAATGGATACTGCTATACAACTAGGAGGTTCTGTGAAAAGTAAACTAAAGTGCAATCTGAAGTACAATACCTGAAAGTGGAGGTGGTTGATAGTTGCAAAGGCACCCAAACTATTGTAACCAAGCCTGAAGTATGGGCTAGCTGCCTCAGCCGCCATGTGCAGTGCTAGCAAGAAGCTCTCTTGGTCAATCCTCTGAGGCACATGGTCCAGGACCCGGGGAATAAGAAGAACATGGCCATATTCAATTGGGCTCACCTTCAAAATGTCAAAAACAGGTATCAGCAATTTAGCACTAAGAGTACACAAGTTGGAAATTAAATAGATTGGCACAGGGCCAGGATGTACATTGATTGCCACAACATTAGGAGCACGATCAGCAACAGTGACTGCGGCACTCCTCAGGAAGTAGCTGTCATCACTACCACTGTTCTCAAATTGGAAGAGCACCTCCTCCTGGCCAACTTTGGTGAAATTGAACTTGGCAGAGTCAAATGGCTGAAGCACACGATCCACACGGAACTCTGTAGGACGTTTCTTGAGGTGGCGCCCTTCATTTAGTTGAGCAACGAAACCAAGGTTGCCAGGGATCACCTTGGTCTCACATGCAGTGACATCATATCGAAATAAGCCTTGGGTCATCCTGTCCTCCCACTGCAATGTG